TTTTTTTTTTTTTTATCTTTCGAATCGAAGAAGCAAGTGGTAACAAAATCGTATCGGCATTACCGTTTTGTGCCATTACGCAAGGAATCGCTGCAGAGAAATTTTCTCCCGGAGTGTCGCAACACAATTCTTTTTACTATGCGAATAATAACAAGGATAGCTCACGATTGTGGATCTACGACGTAAGAGTATAACTTTCCGTATTGGTGTGCTCTAACATGGACATAAATTATAGGCGAGGAAATTGTAAAACTGAAGAGAAGCTTCCTTTTTTTTTTTTTTTTTTAAACTTAGAGAAATAGATGAATTAATAATTCGACTTTCTTTCTTTTTAAAATCATCAACAAAGTTCTTCTATACAATTTATTTCAGTATCACAGTGAGAACAAGTACACTGATATCGTTGATCCGTTCTTCAACTAGCGTATTTTTTTTTGTTCAGTTTCTCGATCGTCTATGTCATCGTACACGTAAATTCGGAAAGTTTTGAAAATCCCACGACAGATTCCAGGATACGAAACCTCTGCGACATTTAGAAATTCAATTTTTTTACTCACTGAAGACGCGAGTCTTTTTGGTGTAATTTTCAATCTGTTTCGCGATCAAACGAAAACGTAGAAATAATTGGAGAAGAAGACGAAGAAGAAACGTGTTGTGGCCCTCCGTGGTTGCGTGCTCGTTTAATTGCGATAGATTTAATCGTAGTAGTGTAAAGGGACGAACTCGAAAAACGATTCGAGTCGTCGGGGAGATTAGAATTCGACGAAAGAACGGAAATTTATCCGATATTTTTAGATACGCGTACATATTGTAATAATTGGACTGCGGATTCTTATGGATTTTTAAAAAATTTTCATGATGTACATGATCAAAGAAATGGAACCTATATGTATTATACAAATGCTATCTATTACTGTGCTGTTATGACAAATAGGTGTTTTAGGTATTTTATATATTTTTATACATTGCATACAAACATTCTATGTATTTTTTTTGCATCTTCTAGTTTTCCATAAATGCATAAAAATCCGCATTTATTATTACTAATAGTATATGTATATAGTTGGTACAATCCGTTCAAACGAAGGGAAGGAATATTCGTCATTCATTGTAGATAACCATTTCTCTTTCTTAATTTTAACGTTAAGTAGCTATTGACTATCTTTTTTTTTTTTTTTTTTTTAAATCTTTTCACTCCTTTTTCGAATCGAAGACAAATTCTGGAAGAGAGCTTGTGCAAATGTTCAATTCATTTCCGCACTTTTCTTCCCCTCCTTTGACGCGTGACTTTCGGCATAATTTTTGTTTCTTTGACATATATTATTATGTATTTATTTCGATCTTTGGAACATATTAGAACGACAAGTGTGCTCTGTTTTCTCTTCGCTTCGAAATGTTCGTTTTTCCCCC